GCACACACGTGTGGGACTCACGGGCGGGCCCAGGCCTCGCCAGCCCTAGTTATCAGTGCTGGGGATGGCGAGGTCTGGGCGGAAGTCGGGCCGGGCATCCAACTTCCGGTGCAGCAGGTCCGGAAGCTGTTCGCCTCCACCTCCAGGTGGCGCTGTGGGCGTTTGCTCGCCTCAGTGTCTGTCTTTAGGGAGCGCCCTCTGACTTCCGGGTTTTCATTCTCTCTCGGCCGCCTGGAGCTTCTCAGACACAGCCGCGCTCTGACAGGAGCTGAGGATTTCACTTCGTTTTCGGAGACCTTTCAGCTCCGTCCCCTGTTCTCGGAGCTCCGCCTCCAGCCCCTCCATCCTCCTCTTGAGCTGCGTGTTCTCCTCCTCCTCCCTGTGGGTGTCCCGGCCTCTTCCCCGGCTCCGCGCTGGCCGCCGCCTCCCGCAGCGCCGTGGTCCGCGGGGCGTGGCTCTCCTCAGGGGCTGCGGCTGCAGCTCCCACTTCTGCTCGGCGGCCGCGCTCTGCGTCACGGAGATCTCAGCGCGTCCTTCTCAGACTTCCGGTGCGTGTCGGCTGCAGCGGTGGAAAGGCCTTTTCATCGCCGCCCTTGACACTGGATGCCGCAGCAGAAGATGGGGCTTCACGCCCAGATCATTCGGAACCATGACTCCAGCTCTCGGTTTTCTCCTGGGCCTTGTCTTTGGGCATCTCGGCAGCTGCTTTCAGCTCCTGGAATTTCTCTGCAAACGTTTCCAGCTGCTGCTCAGAGGAAAACCCCAAACCAAACACCGTGTGGGCTCTGCTGTCGGCCCCCTGCCCAGACTTCTGTGGCGTTTTGGGGAAGGTCGTATTTGGTGCGATTGTGCTGTTGATGGTCACCTTGGCTCCGCCCACGCTGATGATACGATAGCGGTTCCTTGTGACGTCATAGAAGGAGGAAACGGCGACTGCTGCTTGCTCGCAGGATCCAGTTCTTGATGTTGGGATCAATCTGGAAGACTTGGGCTCGGGTGAAGTTGGGCTGTTCTCCCAACTCCAGCAGTGCTCTGGCGGCCACTGTGACCCAGCCTCTCTGGCTCCCTCTGAGGCACATGCTGCAGCCCCTGCACACCAGCCTCAGCTCTGGCACTGCTCCAATCTGTGGGGCTGCCTGGGCGTGTGCTCTGGAAAAAATAATTCTAAGAGATAAAAGAATAATGAAGCCTTCAGGAGGCAGCAGGGTGAATGAGTTTCTCAGGACAATCTAATCACACCTGGACAGGGAGAAAAATTCATGACCTAGGATGAATTTTAAAATATGTGGTTAAAATTTCATTGAAAATTGAGGAATTTTGACTGTATAGGGTACAAAGCTATATTATGATTTATGAATGCAATATGGAATAATTGAATTGAACCAATTGACACATATATCACCTCCAATCCTTATTTGTGTGTGTGTGTGTGTGTGTGTGACAAGAACATTTGAAATTTGTTCTTGGCTATTTTAACCAGTAGACTATGTTTAAACTTACAAATAGACATCAATTTATGTAAACTATAGAGAATGGCTGAAATCAGTTATGAATTACTATAATTTAAATTTTGTTAATCATTAAGTTTTATTCTTTGGGACATATTTCATAGTTATTTTATAATAAGATTAAATATTAAAGACTGCAGATGTATTCATAAGTTTGTGTATTTACACATATGTCTATAGATGGAAATTTATGTCCCCATAGCTATGTAGTTGCTGTTATCAACAGTTGTTAATAAAACTCTAGAAGAATAAGTGCAAATTATTAGGAAAAATTATTTCTTGAAGGCATATGTATTTTTTAAATGCCCCACCTATAAATTTAAAAATTACTAAAGCACAAATAATTAAAAATTATTATAAATAAGTATATTAAAATATCTCAACCTCGTAAGACTCCATAGTCCTGCAAAAACAAGTCAGCCTTCTGCAGCTGAGACAGGAAACCTCCCCCTGCACATGCTCCTGGAAGCTGTCCTGTCCTCAGTGGGCGCCCCCTGGTGGCCCCATGCGCCCCTGCAGGGAGGTTTGTGTCTGGGCTCACACTGACCTCCACTCACTGTGTCTCTAGTACATTAATGGACGGCTGTGTCCTCGGTTTTAAGGCTGTTCATTTGCAGATAAAGCGTGTTCTTGGAATTGTCTCTGGAGATGGTGAATTGGCCCTTCACGGAGTCTTTGTAGTTTGTTCTATCCCCATAGGGATTAATTTCTCCAACCCACTCCAGCACCTTCCCCGGAGCCTGGTGGACCCAGTACATCCAGAAGTTCCTGAAGGTGAATCCAGAGGCTGCACAGCAGAGTCTCTGGGACCCCCAAGGCTGTACCAAGCCTCCCCCAGACTCCACCAGCGGCACCGCACACTGGACACCTGCAAACACAGAGACACCTTTGTCATTAACTGCCACACATATCCACTGTTTGTCTCACTCATGTCCACTCACACTCAAAATCTCTAGTTCTCCATAAATCACCTTTTATAATAGTAAAAAGAAAAAGCCAGCTCAGCCCAAACTCCATGGTGAGTTCTCTGTGTTCAGTGCTGATCACTGAATAGAAACACCTGAGAATTCTGGGGCTGGGCTCCTTTCCTAGAGCTTCAGGGTCAGAGCTGGGCTGGTTTTTATGAGCTGAGGGAGAGCCCTATTTGCATGTCTCCTGCTACAAAGCAAGCTCTGGGGTAGGGCAGCTGAGGAGAGGGCAGTGCCTAGAGCCAATGAGAGTGTCCTGGAAAACATTGGCGGTAATCCAATCTCTTGGGAAAATATAACTTCAGATTATGTGGTTGTGTGTCGATAATCACTTAACAGGTATCATTTATTTTACTATTACATAATTGCCAAATATCTTTAATTCAAATGTCAATGTTGCATGTTTAGAAAAGATAAATTATACACAGAACAGTGCAGTTGTGCAATGTGTCCAATATCACACATCTGGACAGAGTTAGTCCCATCTGTGCCTGTGTCTCCAATTACTGGAAGAAACTTCTCCCCTGATACACTGGTCCAGGGCAGTGTGGGACGTGTCTAGGGAGGTTTCAGGATGTCCCACCTATGATAACTACTTTATGTGATTTTGCCTTTTCTAGTGTTTATCTGAAATATAAAATATAAAATCAGTGTTCACATGTGTGTGCCTTCAGGAGTCCATGATTAGTCAAGTGCCAGTATTCATCTTTTTCTTTCTCTTTCTTAGACAATAGATTTATTTTTGTAGCAGCTTTATTAAAACCACTCTGTGGTTTCCCTGCTTGGTTGAGTCACCCCTGCTTGTCCCCTCCCTGCTACTCCCCAGGTTTTCCTTCTTTGCTCATCATCTTATCCTGTTACAGACTTCTATTCCTGGAGACCCAACAGTAGTCTTGAGTGACCATATCACCCATGTCCTGCTGACTTTTTTTTTTCTTTTACTTAAATTTTTAAAGCTAACCTGGACATTACAATTGGTATTTCAAATTTATAACAACATCTTAGCATGCCTGAGGACAACTTTTGTATCACACACACACACACACACACACACACACACACACACTAGTCTCCAAATACTCTTTCAATTTCCTACAGGGAAACACATGAGCCTGTTGTAGGAATTGTTTGCATTGGCCATGGGAACCATGATGAGGCATCCTCTTCTGAGGTTACAGGATCTCCACGTCCAAGGAGCAGAGAGACTGCAGGTAAGTAGAAGCCCAGTGTATCTGGATCTCGGAGAAGAATCACGGGACACCAAGTACAGCAGGACTGACCAAGAGGACCAGCTGTGGGAGACTTGGTATGAGGAGGACAAGGTGAGGCCTGTTCTTATGTCTCTTGTCCTTCCGTCTGTTGATGTGACGTGTCACAGTGACTGATTTGCATATGCTGGACCCTCCTTGCATCACTGGGACAAACTGTGCTTGGTCATGACGAAGGAGTTTTTTTAATGTGTTGTTGAATTCTGTTTGCTAAGATTTCCTTGAGGATTTTTGCATCTATAGTGATCAGAGCTATTGGCCTGTAGTTCTTTATTAATGTCTTTGTCTGGTTTTCATATTAGGGCAATACTGGCCTCATATGCAAGTTTAAAGTACGCCCTTCTCTTTTTTTAAAAATTATTTTGAGGAGGATAGGTATTATTTCTACTTTAAATGTTTTTCATAACAGCAATGAAGCCATTGAGTCCTGGGTTTTTTCTTCTCTGGGAGACCCTTTAGTACAGCTTCAAGGTTGTGATTTATTGGTCTGTTCACAGGTTGGTTTTCTGCTGGGCAACACCAGAGTCAAAGGTGATCTTGAGTCTAGTCTTTGTGCAGCCAATATTGTGGCGTCAGCCACTTGTGTTTTATGGAATGGAAACAGAGGGCCAGTTTCGAAACAGGAATGACTGCTGACCCAAAAGAAGGGCACCCTCCAGAAGTGTCTCTGGTCTCAAGGTTGTGCCAGGCTGCAGCAATTTGGCTAAAGGGATGAGTGGTGGCCAGGGAGTATAGATTTTGCTCCTAATCTGGTGTAATACAGCTGCATGAATTCCTTCCAGCACTCCAAATTGAGCTCAGGGTTTGCAAGGACTGTGGAATTATTTTGTAGTAAGAATTGAACAATGAGAACACATGGACACAGGGAGGGGAGCTTCACACACTGGGGTGTGGGGGGAACTAGGGGAGGGACAGTAGGGGGTGGGGAGTTGGGGAGGGATAATATGGGGAGAAATGCCAGATATAGGTGATGGGGAGAAAGGCAGCAAACCACATTGCCATGTATGTACCTATGCAACAATCTTGCATGTTCTTCACATGTAGCCCAAAACATAAAATGCAATAAAATATATATTTAGAAAATAAAAAAGAATTCCTAATATGTGTGATTACAGTGGGGCAATCCAAACCCCCAAGAAAGGTTCTTCTACGTAACTTTTCTGACCAGGGATAATCCCACATGATTCTGTGTCAATGTGAGCCTTCAAGTAGGAAGCTGCAGAGACAGGGTGACTTCACACAGCCCTACTGGGCTTCTAATAACCACAAGGACCTCTCCTCTCCCCTGCTGTCCTCTTGGTCTCTCCCTTCAACATACCAGTCTAGTCTTAGCTGTTTATTCATTTTTGTGGTTATTTCATAAGGGGTTGGAAAATGTCAAGCACATTTAATCAGCTGTCCTGCTGATGTGTATTGTTGTTGTTGTTTTGTTTTGTTGTTTTACTTTTACTTAATTTTTGTGTGGCTAACCTGGACGTTACAATTGGTAATGCAAATTTACAACAAAGTAATTTAAATTATGATTACCTTAGCTTCAGTAGAGCATACAGTTCTGCTTCTCTGCAGTTCTCCATTTTTGTGTACTGTGTTGTTACATATTAGTACATTATAAATTACATGCACATTATTCAAATTTATAATTAACCTTATCTCCATAAATTATAGGCACATTATTCGAATTTATCATTACTCATATATCCATTTGTCTTAAATAATAAATGAATAGAACATGAGACTCTAGACAAAAATAAAATCGTATTGGCTTTCCTTACACAAATGTGATTACTTTACTGGGATTCTTTTCTTGTTGTTGTTCTTTATAGGTGAAAGATTTTTAATTATCCTCCACTCTTTTTTCATTTCAGCCTGTAGGACTCTATTTAGTATTTATCATTAGGAATTGGTGGTTTTGATGACTCTGTGGCTTTTGTTAATTTCTATTATCTTGAATTCTCCTTCACTTTTGCAGGTGTTCTTGCTAGTATGGAATTTTCGTTTGACAGTGTCTATTAGCACTTTTGATATGCCATTCCAGTGAGTTTTGCCTTTCTGATTTTTGGTGAGAAAAGAGTTGTTAATTTTATTAAGGACCTATCCTAAGTAATAACTATGCCTTTGATTCTAAGGGCTCAAACATATCTGGTATTTTCAGACACAGGAAACTGATGTGAAGAGATGAGTCTCTAAAAGCATGCATAACGACACTCCACATGCACATAAACATGCTCACACACTCACACACACTCAACACCGTCACACATAGAGTCACAGGTAATGACTCACCTACACAAACACACACAGGGGCACACACTCACCAAGGAATGCAAGTAACACATTCACACTCAAACAGCCCTGCACACACAAGCATTCAATCAATCACATTTATGAAAGTTTGATACACACACTCCCTCAAAAAAATCATGTTCATGCAAAGTAATAGAATCAGATACTGAAGGGCTCACTCACACACATTCAATATAACATACACTTTTACAAACTAACTCACAGACACAGGCATGCACAATCTCTCACACACTCCCTCAAAGACACAGTCTAACAATCTCAAACTAAATTACTCACTTTAAAATAAAATACAGACACACACAAGCTCACACACACAACGATCCAAGTACACACAGACTCATACTAAGGCTATTCTGTAGTCACAGGATTGAGACAGCCGCCATCCCCTGTCTCCATGGATATCATACTGTGGTAGAGGCTCAGCCCACCTTCTAGATTCTTCTCAGAGATGGCCAGGACTCCAGAGTTCAGGTTCTCATATGTTGCGTGACTTTTGGGATAATCCACACCTGAAACACTGAGTGGCTTTGTCTTCGACTACTTGATTATCACCTGCATATCAGTTGATGCAATTGTTTACCTTGTTTTGAAGGAAATAAATTCAGTCTCGCTAGGCTAGATCAATGTATCTCTGTTCTCTTGGCAGCTTCAAATGTAGTTGAAAATAGGACAGTTTCAATAAACACTGCAGCTCTTACAACGCTTTCCTGGTCAGCTGGTCCAGCAGCATGGGGACTCCAGTAGAATACTCATTTTATGGTCCTAATTCTGTTTCCACTGTGGACACATTCCTTCTTATGTACCAGGACTTCCAGTCCATCAAAGCCTAGGATGATGGAGATGAAAATAAATATTCTTCAAATTTTCATCATAAATGTGGCAAGAAAACCTGATATTTTTGCCCATCGGTTTCCATACCCAGGTGTTGTAGCTCCTGACCACAAGGCACTATAATTCTCACTGTTGCAGGGAATTCACAACTCCCTGGAGGATAGTATTGTCCTCAAAATGGACTTTTTTCTAGATTATGTTTTTTATTATAAAACAGTGGCAGAAAACATCTTGTGTAAATCTCACATCAGAATGTGGAGACTGAAGTAAATCCTTTCACTGTTCTACCGAGGTTTCTGTTTCTGCACAAACGTGAAAGAGGAATGTCTGCTGGATCCCATGCTCACATTCCATAATCACATCTCCTATCCTGAAACAACAGCTGCTTTCCTTCATGTTGGAACATATTGTATAGTATTTCAGGCTAAGAAATGAAATATTCAGGAACTTGGACAGTGCACTAGTAACTTCTATGTGATAAAAGAACACACACATGTAGAGATAACAGTCAATCCTTCTAAGTATAAATGACTACCTATCAAGTTTGGACTTTATTTACATTATTCAAATTGTCTTCATTCACAGGTGGGTAACATTACAAGGTGTCATTATTTTGTTAGACAAATGTGATATCCATCACTATCAGCTCAGGCCCAGTTTGAGATGCTAGGACTGTCTGTTGGGAGGAATGTAAACTCAGCCTTCATTGCACATGTAAGGGAAAGCTCTGAAATAAAGAGGGAGGACCCTGGAACTTGAGTAGAAGCAATGATTAGCCTGCAGAGGATGTTGTACTATGAGTTCTCCACACCGTCTGATCCACAAGAATAGATTTTCGTTACTTTCAGCTGCTGGCTCCTTTATTTTTTAATTATTATTTATTGATTAATTTTTTTAATGTACTTTAGGTTCTGGGGTACATGTGCAGATCTGCAGATCATGCAGGATTTTGGCATAGGTACATACATGGCAAGGTGGTTTGCTGCCTTCATCTCCTCATCACCTATATCTGGTATTTCTCCCCTCATTATCTCTCCCCACCCTCCCCACTCCCACTGTACCTCCCTTAGCCCCCCATACTGACCCCAGTGTGTGATGCTCCCCTCCCTGTGTCCAAGGTGTTCTCATTGTTCAACACCCGCCTATGGGTAATAACATGTGGTGTTTGGTTTTCTGTTCTTGTGTCAGTTTGCAGATAATGATGGTTTCCAGATTCATCTATGCCCCATGAAGAACATGAACTCATCACTTTTGAGGTCTGCATAGTATTCCATGGTATATATGTGCCACATTTTCTTTATCCAGTCTATTGATGATGGACATTTGGGTTTGTTGCAGGTCTTTGCTATTGTAAACAGTACCCCAATGAACATACATGTGCATGTGTCTTTATAATAGAACAAATTATAATTCTTTGGGTATATACCCAGTAATGGGATTGCTGGGTCAAATGGCATTTCTATTTCTAGGTCCTTGAGAAATCGCCACACTGTCTTCCACAATGGTTGAACTAATTTGCATTCCCACCAATAGTGGAAAAGTGTTCCTATTTCTCCACATCCTCTCCAGCATATGTTGTCTCCAGATTTTTTAATGGCTCCTTTATTTTAAATATTATTTTATTTATTTTTATTTTATTTTACATTCATTTTATCCCATTTCCTGAATATGTAAAAAAAAAACGAAGTACCTATAAATTTTAAATTTAACAATCAATCATTAGTAGAAGTAACAAAAATAATGGTTATGAGGAAGATGCCAAGTAGAGATTCCAGAAAATAAAACAAATAAATAAACAAGTTATGTATGTTTAGAGTGATACCTGAGGACACAAACTCTGAGAACCTTGTGCTGAATTGTGTATGAAGTTTAATTATATTTAATGTCCAAAATGCTGATCATTTCAGTAAAAAAGAAATTTGTACGTGGTCTGCTCATATAAGGATTTCGAAAGGGATGAAATCACAAACTTGCAAAACCAGGTGACACTTGGTGTATTCAGTATTCACCCTTTTCCATATTGCTAGGAAGAGAGAATGGATGGGCTATACCTTCCTGGGAAATGAGAGAAGTGGTTTTTAAGATGGTTCTCCAGGGGAGTTGTCAATTCAATCACTCCAACCATGCTCTGATACAGGATGGAAGAACTAGACTTGCTGAGTCTTCGGCTTTCATTTTTCTACCATGCCGGATGCTTCTTGCCATGAAACATTATAATCCAAGTTCTTCAGCTTTTTCACTCTTGGGCTCACACCAGCGGTTTGCCAGGGGCTCTTCAGCCTTTGGCCACAGAATGAAGGCTGCACTGTTGGCTTCCCAACTTTTGAGCTTGTGGGACTCGGACTGGCTTCCTTGCTCCTCAGCTTGCAGATGGCCCATTAAGGGACTTGACCTGTGATGGTGTGAGTCAATACTCCTTAATAAACTCCCCTTCAAATGTGTGCATCTATCCTATTAGTTCTGTCCCTCTAGAGAATCCTGACTCATACAATGAGAAAAGTGAAGACGTCACTACATCAACCACATTTCACTGATGAGAACTTGTCCCACAGAGAGCAGGGGATGTGCAGGAAATACAGAGGGGTTGGGGGATATTGTCCGTAAAAGAACAGATGCAGCATAACTGAATTCCCCCATGGAAGGAAGGTTTAAATGTTTGTTCAGAGCTAATGATGGCTTATGTCACGACCTCCACAAGGTTTCAGAAATAGTTTCTATTAACAAATGTAATACTTTACCTGGGTTTTCTCCCCATAGCTTATACTTGCTCTCTAGTCAGCACCAAAGAATGATGTCTTCAGAATTTTCCCTAATCTTCTGTGAACTCCTGGTGCAGTTCCTGGAAGAAAAGCCTGCATGGGGAAGGGAGCCCTCCTCATGTGCAGCCCTGAAGCCACCACACCATCTCATCCACCACTGCCCTTCAGTCACTTAGTCAACATTTCTGAGTTAACCTTCCTTAAACATGGCATTTGGCAGTGTCTTCCCTATTTAAAAAAATACTTAAGTTCTGCTTATCCCTGCAGACACCTATCCTTTCTGGAATGCAGGTTGTTTTGAGTGTGTAGTAATTGAAAATTGATAGAAGGTTTGTGTGCAACTTGTCATCTTACAGAGTGTACCCACCATGGGGTTGACACCAACAAGCAAGCAGGTGGACTCACTCAGCTGGAGAACAAGGCATTTCCGTAGCCAGTGACCCCAGTGGGTCTCTCACCCTCCAAGACCAATCGGGCTCATTTCTCTGGCTAGTGTACATCCCACAAGGGGGACCAGTGCCCGCCCAGGAGAGGGTTACTTCTATTTACCTCCCATTTTCTGAATGGAAACTATTGCTTCTGCCTGCAATGCATGCATGTGTTTTTATTTTCTGTAAAAGGGACTCACACAGAAACACCCACGAAACGTTACAGTGAATCTAATGGAACTATAGAGAACCATACCTGATGTGCCTCATGGCCATGGTCTCCACTTCTCATTGAAGAACATTCCTGATGGGATTCACCAGAACTTGCTGGCTTTCCATAGACATGGATCTACCTCTAAGCACTTTGGGACCTTAACCTCTGAGAAGGGACAGAAATTACAGAACCTATAGGAAATACACATTTTATGAATCCTCTAAGGAGGACTCCTAATAGAAATAGCCCCACCCACTTTTCCTATAACTGGCATCATTCCCAGTAACCCACTTCAAACACCTGTGGTACTTCAAGATAATTTAAGCTTGGTATGCCAAGGAACAGCTAGAAGAGAAAAGAAACGATCTGTCCATGTAAGCTCATTCTTTCTAACATATTTATGACTCTGGAGCAGGACAGTTATAGTGGGGCAGGCTGTGCATATATGAAGAGGGGCACAGGGGAGCTCTCTGCACCTTCTGTTCAATTTTGCTGTGGTCTTGAAACTACTTTTTGATACATTTCATGTAAAAAGGGTGGCAGAGACATTTTGGAATACTTTTTGGCCAGTTTTTAGGAATGATATTTAGTCTTAGTCATGTTATAAGCAATTGAGCTCCAATTATTTATCTATCTGATTTTAAAACTTAAGTCTGCCAAAGTCTCCATGGGAAACTTTCCATCAGCTTGATTGATTGTTGCCTTTACCATTCTGACAATCTTGCATATGCAGCCACCTTTGAAAGAAATATTTCCTGTGTAGTGTGCATACATGTTTCTATTACTCATGTTCCTCAATTGCTTAGCCCATTTTCTAAACAACTTTAAAGGTTGTTAGCCCTGTAATCTCAAATTCAGTGCTGCTGCCCCCTCCCTGGGGTTTCTGACACTCTCAGGATGTTGTTTTCACACTGTGTGTCTTTCGCACAGTAATACACGGCTGTATCCTCAGATCTCAGGCTGCTCAGCTCCATGTAGGCTGTGCTTGTGGATGTGTCCCTGGTTATGGTGACTCTGCCCTGGAACTTCTGTGTGTAGTTTGTGCCACCACTACTAGGGTAGATCACTCCCACCCACTCGAGCCCTTGTCCAGGGGCCTGTCGCACCCAGTGCATATAGTAGCTGGTAAAGGTGTATCCAGAAGCCTTGCAGGAGACCTTCACTGAGGACCCAGGCTTCTTCACTTCAGCCCCAGATTGCACCAGCTGCACCTGGGAGTGGGCACCTGTGGAGAAGAGACAGGAGTGAGTGAAGTCTCACTTGACTGCCCTGGTTTCTTCCTCTGCCCTGGGACTGGGGAGCCCCTTACCTGGTGCCGCTGCCACCAAGAAGAGGATCCTCCAGGTCCAGTCCATGGTGAGGAGCTGTGCTCTAGAGGCTTCTCTCGAGGAGGGGTGTGGTTGTTGGGTGATGCTCTCAGTCACAGAGATCTCTATATTCACCTCAGTTATTTGCATACTTATGAAGGATGCTATTTAATAGCCCAATTCCTGACCCAGTATGAGAAAGAGCAAATATATGACACATGGACGACACAGTTGTAGAAGCTGAAGGTTCAATCCATAATCCTGTTAGAAGCCATGCGTCCCCAACACATCCCTGAACTCTGTGTTGAGAGAGCCTCCCTCACTGGGTAACAAGCTTCCCCAGGACACACATGTCATTTTGAACCCACATTTGAATGTCTCAGGGGCAACTTGAACCATTTCTAGACCTTAATATGGGAATACGTTATTTTGGGAATGAGTGTGTTTCTCCAAAAATTTCTCTTATTTATAAGAAAGAATCTCTTCCTGATCTCCAACTGCTTACTATTAAGAGATTTAGCTGAATTTGAAATCCCCATTGTAAAAGTGGTTCTCATTATAACATCCAGTTTGATAAATGCTCACAATTGAACAGGATGTTTTTACAAACATCACCAGTCCTTGTGAAATACTAATTTTAGATATCCTTAAAGGAAGTCCCAGGCCCTGAGAGGAACCCCTCCCCAGCCTCCTGTGCACCTGCTCTGGGCCAGCAGCCTGTGCTGGGTGTGTCCTGAGCGCCCCCTGCAGCCCAGTCCCAACCCTGCAGGGATGTTTCTCTCTGATCAGAATATATTCCCACCAGTGTCTCTAGCCCAGTATAAATTGGCTGTGCCCTGGCTCGGAATTCTCCTTTATTGATGTGATATGCTTCTCACAGCATCTTTTGGAATATTAAATTGGCCTTAGGAAACCAGTGAACTCTGCAGGGAAACCCCAAGAAAAGATCTCCTGCATCATCAGGGAGCCCTTTCCTGGAGCTCAAGAGGCACTGAATCATTAGACACATGGTGAATCCAAAAACTCTTCAGGAGTTTGGAGGAGACTCCTATTTCCTTTAGGGTCCTGCAGTTTGTTATTGCATCTTAGAATACCTACAGGTGCAAGTTCTGTGGCTAGAAGCCCACTCCAAATCTGCTATTCAAATCACACACAGGCACACACACACACACACACAGGCACACAGGCACACACACACACACTGTGGCAAATTTTTATTTTTACATTAATGGATCCCATTGAGAAGTGCTTACACATTGAATTCACCTGGTCTCACTTTGGAACTCTGCAGATGCCCCGTGGAAAGTAAATTTGAGACCATGAAGGTGAAATCATTTTATTGAAGTTGCTGGTGTCAGCCGCTCCAAATTGCTCTATTTACCTTAACATTTTTTCTCCTATTTTCCTCCTCCAATAGAGTTTGTGCATCACCACACTCTCGTATTTAACCCATGTTGACTAAACTGGTGAGAACATAATGTGTGGAACACAGAAGCGTTACATGTTCTTACCGCTGAATTGTAATGCTGTAGTGGTCTCCTTTCTCTGGGCTGTGACCTATACAGGAAGTCTCCAGGTGTGAAGGTGATTGTTGCTCTTTTGTGGCTGGAACATCACAGGAGAATTTTCTTAAATGTACCCCTATTGGCTAATTTTACCAATTTTCATGATAGAGGAAGGCTGCTGGTATGGGCTTGTCATGGGGATGGATTACTTTCCTTACACAGATGAGAATCTAAAAATGCCCTTCCCATGTTTTCTCTTTCTGAAGGAGGTCTGGGTGTATTTATCAGAGATTAGGTGTCCTGGTAATAGAGCCGTGCAGGGATCTATGTGGATTTTCACCCTGAGAACCTGGGGGTTCCTGGAGGAAAGGGCAATGAGAGCATGGGGTGTGGGGCTCCCAGCATCTCTCACCCTCATGCTAGTCCTGACATGCCCTTTATGTTCATTTAGTTCAGAATTTCATATAACAAACCACACAGCCAAGCTCATTTAAATTATTCATGCTCAGGCCATATTGGAGCAGCAGCTGAGTATAATAATCACATTGCACTCAGACAAATCTGGGCCCAATCCAATTTTTACTGTAGCTCAGAGCAGCTTTACTGACTCACTTCACTTGGAGATTATTTCTTCCCTGAAAGAACTGTAAGGGTTGTTATAGAGCCCCTGTGGGGTTGGATTTCTTTGTGTCGGCCTGTCATGCAGGGTATTCTGAATGATGTAGACCTTTAAATTTAGATAGTAATTTTTCCTGGTTGTCTAACTGTGTGTAGATGCCTGCCCCTCCTTCCTGTGGCTCCTGCTCTGGCCATGTGATGTGCCTGCTCCCCTTTGTCCTCTGCTGTGATTCTAAGTATCCTGAGTCTCCCCAGTAGGAGAAGCTGCTACACTTCCTGTAAGCCTGCAGAACCGTGAGTCAATTAAACATCTTTATTTTTTCAAATTACTCCGTCTCAGGCGTTTATTTATAGCAATGTGAGAATGGAATGATACATCATGAAAACATAAAGTGGTGCACCTTAAACATACACATTTATATTTTTTTCTATTATAACCCAATACAACTGAAAAATTTAAACTTACTCTTACGATCAAGAAATGCATACTTCATATTTTCTTAATAAAAATAAGGTAACATAGAAAAACTTACACTAAGGTATTTGTAACAGCTTTGCTTATA